AAAAACACCTTCGCTATTAAAAAAAAATCATCCCAGCATCTCATAGGCAAAGAAGGTACTACATTCAATGTTTGGCCTTCTTTTGCGCCGAGATATTCATTTTGAATGTAAGCATACGCTTTCGATCTTTGCTTTTCAATTCAGAAAATATTTTTCGGGCTACTTTCGAGCAAAAATTCTAACGAAAATATTCGCGATATCAGCATTTATATAATTTTACGATTGACAAAAAAAGCACTCAAAAGTACCTTGAAACGTATTTTCACCCTATTATCAGGCGAACGAAGCGTATTTTTCAACGAGCCTTTGACCATTTTCATGCCAAAAGATATATATAAGGAGTAGAGATATGTATTGCATTTTGATTCGGTTCGGCGAAGGTTTTCTAAGGGGGGCCCTTTTACAGAGTGCCATGTGAATATCCAGTTGTCGTTTTATCAGGAGAAAAGAATTTCTACAAAGATCGCACCAAAATATAACTCACCTAAACCTCTGCGACTTTCTCATAAACATGCACAGGATAATACTGCAAAAAAACGCATAAAAACAGTAGACATAGCACAAAAACGGCCGGTTAGCTCAAACTAACATTACTGTATAGAAAGCACAAAGCAAACCCCTCTCAAACAAAAAGTACTCATCTAATGAACCTTACTTTACGCGCAAGTCTTTTCAGAATGAACTCGTTGAAGACCTGGTAAGCTTCGCCCCATGAGGTAAGAGGCACTGTGTGTAAAGATCGCTGAGGAAATTATTGGTGCATAAAGTTTTTGGCCGTTTGCCCAGAACTAATCGTCCGCCAGAAGCATCACTACAGGTGCCGGAGCAGTTTTGCAAATCAATTTCAGAAGCGAGAAAGGAAATTTACCAATTTGTCCGATAGGCGCAACGGGAGCTTCTACAGGCACAAAAGTGCGAACAAGTAAAACGTATGTTGCCGTAAACGTATGCCCATTGCCGAATGGTTCTCGTGGAAATACTGTGTGTTGTCAAAATCATTACAGGAACGGCTATCAAAAGGTGTGTTTTTGTGGCCTTTGAGGAACAGCCTTACATTTGCGAATTTACGAACGCCGCCGAGGACAATATCAAGGTTAGTGTGACTGAAGACAGGTTGCTCGAGAGAATTGATCCACGGCCTTGTGCTATGCGGATGGTAACTGCGAGGCAAAATTGTATCGAATAGCCGGTGGCGACTAAGTGCTATGTCCACTAGGGGAAAGAGCGAAATTAGCTTGTCCGATTTCGCGCTTGAATCGGCCTTTGGTAAGTTTGGCAGTAACCAAGTACAGGTACAAACAATGAACTACAGTGTAATGTTTTACTGTCGCATAGTTTTAGAAAGTCCGGGTTCTTCGTGAGAGTATTCGAAACCCATTCTTTATGTAGCTATGACGGAGTGCAGATACCTCAATGCTATCGAGAAATTCGATTGTAAAATCAGTCGAGTCGGTGTTATCTAGGACCTTGTTAAACGCCTGGTGTACCGTAGATTCGCCAGGGGAAAAATCAATGAATGTCAACAGAGCAGATTGACTCTAAACTCAGATGATACAGTTTTCTATAGACTGATACCAGCTCGTGCAGGTTACTGATAAATGTAAAAATATACAGTTGCAGAGGATGTTACATTATTGCTTGCTGACCGTTCTACGAAGGTAAGTAAGACGACCGCACTGAAGAAGCGTTGGGGCCAAATGATTTTAAAGAGTTCAGTGCGAAGGTCAGGGCATTTGACAATAAAACATCAATTTGTCACATATTTTAATGATAGGCTAGATAATTTACGTGGCACAGACAGAAGAGCCCAGTATTGATACCATTATAGTAGCGAGATCCCGGAACGATTCGACAATAATAACTGCATATACCAATGCTTAACAACGTAAGATTGCGTTTTGTTTTTTTTACAGCAGATCAATGCATGGTCAAGTACTTTGCAAGCAGCTTGAAGGCTATATGATCTTTCCAAGCTCCTTTTGACTAGGACAATATGTTTGAGCCTATCAAATGTAGGAAAAAAATACTCAATTATAGACCAGATTACATACGACATATATAGTAGCAAACTTAGATTATACCAGACGGACCTACGGGCAGCTGTGCCCCGCACCTCGTTTGCCGTTAATTAATTTACCTAATCTGATTCGTTCACTTAGACAAATGAAAGCTATAGGGCGGGCACACACGAACAGTTATCCCCTTGCAATTACCCTGCGTTGCCTAAATCGTCACCCTTCAGCAGTTACTTCATCAGCCTATTCTACTATGTTCGCCAAAGGGCTTAGCTCACTTTAGATTTATCTAGCTTATGATATGTCGGCTTCCGTTGCGTTTCTACAGCGTGATTATGGGGTGTTTTTAGTGTAGACTGATTGACTTTGTGTCCGGCACGGGGAACGTGAATAAGTCGGACGTCAGAGAACATGAATCGAGCAGGCATTCGGCCGACCTTTAACAGACGTTTTTCTAGTTAGATGATTTTAAAGTACCATACCTTAGGTAATATTAGTCATGTCGGGTTGGCGTTGACAGTATTTGAAAACGTATCTTTGATAGTGCCCGTAGCCAATTCGTGCAGTGTCTGCATTCAGATTCTAAATAGAGCGCTTTGAAATCGAGCAAGATTTCTATTTTTCTTTAGTTAATTTAGTTCTCTCTTATAACGTACAGATACTGTCCAGGCCTATGAAGAAATTTGTGCTATTTACAATTAGGGTGCGTCATTAGAGGAAGGGGTCCAAGGATGCTTCTGGAAACGCCGATATCAAACGTACCTCCCGTAAAAGTCGTCTAATCACTGAGAAAGCTAGCAATTGCGAAAGTCGAAAAACGTCGGCAGGCGAATAGCAACGACGTGAACAAGTAATTAAGCATCCGTTATCAAATAGTCTTAAACCGTATGAACATGGCTAGATAGAGGAAAGCTGCACGTTTTTACGTAGAGACATAGATACCGCTCCTCCGCCATTACTACGGGATAAACACGTGGCGATTTGCCGAGCTGTTCATTCAAGATGGCTTCTCGCGTGGTAGCAGATTGATAAGTATCGTAATGTTTATTTCTGAGCGAAGTACGTCAATGTGTTTTGAAAGCTTGAACTTCTACTAGTATCTTCACTATTAAATATAACTAAATTATATTCAATAACTTGTAAGGGGGTTACCTTTGTTTCGAGGGCAGCTATATACTGAGCTACGAGGAAGATAGATGGCAGCAAAAGGGAATCCCGTTCAGCGGGCCGTAGCGCAACAGATACGCGGCCCTTGAGCTTATACCTCCTTTCGTGACATTACGACTAGCAATTCGATGCCACCCCATATTATAGAGGACTATAACAACTTGAGCAATCCGTATGCCAGGAGCCACGAAAACTGACAAAAGCATACGATCGTCCTCCGGAGTGCAGTCTTTTTTACACAAAATGAAATAAGATGATAGAAAAAGCACTAGCATGCTAGACATTCATTTACCATATTAGACAACAGACTACATAACGAATATCAATTCGGTTAGAGCGGTAAAGATGAAGACAGTTTTAGAACTAGTGAAAGCTACGCGTTATAATAGCAGCACAATGGTAGATTCCTGCTCTTGCATTATATAAATCCGTCAAGTTCATGGAACGTGGTTGCAGATCTACGGCTTTTTTTCAGGTGTATAGATAGAAGACAGCGCATTAAAATCACCACTGAAAGGGTTTAAAGTCAAACTTGAAATTTGTCGAAGTTCCTACATTGAGCCAAGCGTTCAACGCACGCTCTCCACTCGATGCTTTGTTTAAGGAACGCCGTAAAGGGTGCCGCTATTATTTCTACGGACAACGATATGTTCGATAACTTGTTGCCAGTTTTCCCTCACATGTACTCTTATGCTGTCTTCAATCTTATCAATGGTTATCTTAAGAATATGCTGTATGGCAGAATTATGTAGGTTTCCAAAACAGACCAGAGCTACGTGTGCGTGCGTGTGTAGGCAGCGATTTCATTGCCTTCTTCAGCCATTATTTTCAAATTGCTTGTAACGTGTGCACGTAAAAACCTATTACATCCGCCACGCTATGTAGTTATTTTCAACTAAATATATGCTCAATATTTGATACATTTGGTGCTAAACGATTTGCAAAACACGTTTCTCTGTACTGGCTAAAAGCAACTAGAGAAAGTAAGTTCTAATTACCTAACCGTCTAGCGTATGAGAAAATTCTTTGCTAACTCAAAAATAAATGAAAAAGGATAACATTTAAAATATGCATATTTATTTAGCAACTAAGGGTCTGGCAAAAATATCTAGAAGGCAATGAAAACATTAACGAAACAGCATAACGAAGACCACTCAAAGCATCAGGATCTTTGGCCTGTGAATGATCAAACTGAATAGAACAGCGAGAATACAGGCTAAACAGGAGTGATACATTTCACGTGTAAGCAGTTCAATTCAAGACGTCGTGAAGAATGCTATAGTTGTGTGAAGGGTGTTGAGACAAGTGAAGAAAAACAGGCAGAAGAGATCCCTCGGTAAACAATCCACATATAGGCGTATCTTTTAGACAAAATAGAAGCTATCTATCTGCTAGCTGCTTGAACTAACACCAGGGCTCCAATAAACTGACATTTACGTTTCTTTAACTCGTTGTATTTTATTGTTGGTATTAATCATTTACAGATTTATTGTTATTGTCGCCGTTTTTCATTTACGGTTTCCACTTCGTCTCCGGTAAAGTCATTCGTTTGAGTAACGTTGGTTGTTGTCGGCGGTCATCTTTTGTAAAGCGTCTGTCTCGCTACAGATTTTTAGACCGGAAGAGCCGTTTACGATCAATATTTTTACTGTTGGACGATCGATTAACTTTCATCCGTGCTTTCCTCTTCCTCCACCTCCTGATTCTATACATTTGCCTTACGTTGTTCAGACAAGATTGGATCAGTGAGATTCGCCACGTAACGGGATTAGCGCTAATTAGCAGAGTCTACGGTGCTGTTGTTTGACATTTAGTTACGTTACCGGGTTTTTTTTTTTTTTTTTTTTCGCGGTTGATAGAATTCGCATTAGATATCTTTTACTGTTGTCCATAGTTTTAGCACTTTTTTGTTAATACCATTTTAGGTTGCATACGTCTGCGGTTTGTGTCCTCCGTCACTTAGATACACACCAATAAATAACTTCACATCGCTATTACTATTGCCAGTGTCTTCCTATTGTTGTTTCACTTTCATCATCTATACGTCGAACATTGCCTCAGATGACGTTTAATGTCCCTACGCTGTTGACTTATACATCATCGTATCATCACTATTGTCATTTTCACCATCATCGTATTGTCTACTTTTCTTCTACAGTTAGGGAATGAACTTGGCCTCGGCCAAACTCTGCCTTAAAAAAGAAGAAGGCCATGTATGTACGCCACCCGATAGTACTTTCAGACCGAGAAGAGGCCGCAGGCATTAGTGAACGTTCGTAAATCATATGGCGTGCCGCATAGTTACGGCGACGGGAGATTCCCATATCTTGAAGTCAGCCAAAATGCAGGTACCATTGGTATCAGCACTGAGGGCGGTAACTATCGTAATAGCCATAAGAACGTTAGCTATCATCATCATCCGGATAATGGTGAGTGTTACCATCGTCGTGGCGGGACGAAAGCGGTAGCAAAAGGGAGAAGGGGCGACAAAGAAAGGCTTCCCGAGTAAATGTTTTCAAAAGTGTAATTAATTGTCGTGTGGCCGAGGCCGGCAGCAGCGAATCAACAAAACTTTATTATAACTGATCAGCGTGTTCGTTTGCTCGACAACACTCGCCACCCCTGCCCCATGGATATGCGACAGAATCACGGCACGCATAACAGCCGGTAGGGGCTCGTCAAGTGCTGCCCCAGGACTCGAGAAGTCCTCCGTCCTATTATAAATACTTAAACATATTTAGTGTGTGTGTGTGTGTGTGTGTGTGTGTGTGTCTATATGCTGAAGGGCCTTGTCATTCTGTCTCATCTGTATTGCCCTATTATGTTCCGTCTTTTGCGCAACGCAGCCATTATCAGTCTGTCAAAAAAGGCCTATCATCACGCATCTATGCTTTGTGACCGATCCTATTTAATATGCTTGGTTTTGGCAGACTTAGCGCAATTGTTATGTGAGGCCACGGCGTAATTTTATCTTAGTTATTATTATTATTATTATCGTCATCATATCTAGTCAATGTCAATGGCCAAATAAAGAGTTGAAAAGTTCACTACCGACTGACAGACGCCGTACGCGTTTCCGGAAGAAAGAGAGCTGAGGAGCTGGAAAGCCCGGGCGGATTCAGAGGACTTTGCACGGACGCAAGCGGCAAACCAACGTCGATCAGCACGCTGTTCCCGCATAATATTTAGTACGCACTCGCTCCGAGTGACTCCCGTTGTGGCAAACTCCGGCGGCGACTCCGGATTCGTGTATTACTATTATTATTATTATTATTGACGTTCGTTCTCCGAAAAAAATGCTCTCCCCACCTTGTTTCACTAACGCGACAGACGTTTCGTCATAGCGGACGCTAACCGATGCCGTCGTTTGCTGTTGGTTAATTTGCGTGGTAGGAAGAGGTAACATTCTAAGAACGTGGCTTAAGATAAAGGTTAGTCAGTATCCTGGCGGGTGTCATTATTAGTCCTACCTAGACTAGTTGTTTCGCAAAACAAGGAAAACGTATTTACAATATACAACAGGCACAGTTAAATGTAAAAGTCCTGCCTTTCTCATCACCATCGGCGTCGTACTGGTATTATAAGTTGTAGTATCAGCAGTAGAACCTTTAACGACACACGAAAAGTGTACAGAAACGTATGCATGTAGTTTCGATAGCGGGAGTAGACGACACAGTGTGTGTGCAGTCGGGGTGTCATGGCCGTTAGGCAAAACGATTCAGCGGTTCCGGACGTCGAACATGTCGAAGCGTTTCATGGTTCAGCTGCGGCAATGTTACGGTACTGTGGTGATGATAGCATTTGCGTAATTATAGAAGATTGGTTTACCAACATGGCCCATTCCATTGCGCATATTCTTGCGACGTTGCTATTCATGTTGATGTTTCATGTTGCCTTCGCATGCTCAGCACTGTCTCTCGAACACACGTTTTTGTTTACAAATATATCTATAATTAGCGTGCCATTGTCGCGGGTGTGCAGCTAGCTTCATAATGTCGCTTTTAGTATGTATGTTTATCACGTATTCGCCATGTTGCGTTGCTAACATCTCCTAAACAGAGCAAGGCTTAACACATTGATCAGCGTATGAAGCCGCGCCTAGCAAGAACGACGTTGTCCATGCTAGCCAATGCGAATCGAAGGATGCTTGCTTAAGTTAAGTTTAAGGAGGTTCGCCTCTGCGGGCCGCTCCATTAACTTACTTGTGTGTTCGTTTATCAATTTTCACTCTTGTTGTTGTCACACTAAGCAACAGTATGCTTTTATTGTTCAATAACGACGACGATGAAAGTGACAGTGTAGGATTAAGCCGTCAACGCTCTCTGACACATAATTACGAATACACTATCCGTGATAGAAAATAATATACATTTATGGTATCATTAGTATATGTGCAATCGCTGAGTACAATTGTAGCAACAGTATTGGCTAATTATTACCGTCTTTAACAGATCCGACGCAACGAGTTAATAAAAACCGCGGGGCAATGTGACGGGCATTGGAGAGAGGCTGGCTTAGAGAATGCGGCCTCTATCGCCGATTGTTCATTGTTTTTCCACATCAGCTGCTTATCGAGTTATACAAAATTGCCGTTAGATAGAGATGATAAGGGATACTATCTTGGTCCGTATTTGAAATTCCTCACCACAGAAAAGCGTTAAAAGGGGCCATTCAGAGGTTCATCGTGTGTCGATGATTAGATTTCCTCGAAGCTTCATTTTGAAGCTAGAACGATATTCATCTTGCTTGGTGTTGTGTTGCTAATGGTATCTGTAAGCCGCTTTACTAGCCGCTGGCAGCATTTGCACACATTGAGATATAGGCCTTAATAGTAGTACTTCACTGTTTCATCATGGTCAGCGTCATGGAAGTAAGCGTAAGTTGCATTGTGCCATATGCCGTGGTTTTTTTCTAGTAAGAAGCGCTTGATAGGTTTCACTTGGTAGGTGGAAAATTTACGCTTAAATGGATCGCAATAGTAATAACCATTTACCTCGTTGTACTGCACTAATAATGAATCGAGGAAAATAGAAAAAGGCTAAAGTTATCAGCTAGGTTTACTATCGTCACGTGTATCTTTGCAGAGTGCACATATGTGTATATATATGCTGCTGTTAACAGCAGTATGGATGCTATTGTAACGTTACGATGTTTTATCGTGTCAGAATAGAAGAGAGGCTAGAAAACCTTGTAAAGTTGGAAGCGACAGGTAAGGACCACTACCGCCATCATCACTATCGCGGTAACCGCTATAATATGATGATGATTACTATTTTCATTAAATAAAATAGTATTTCATGTTGGGCGAAGAAGATTAGGAATTGAACGGACATTTATGTAGATCATTTTTGCTTTGTAGCGTTGTACAGATATGATACAAATGGCGACAGCAGCCACTTATGCCATCTGTTGCGGACTGGGACTGGCAGAGGAAGTCCACTGTCGTGTTATTCATAGATAGCTCTAATTCGTAGCATATAGAAGTCATAGCTACAGGTCAGAAGAAGAAATCATAGGAGATGAAAGGACTGAATGACTGAGTTGACACAATTGGCAAAGACAGGCCATTATCACTTCCGGTAGAATGGATCAAACCAATTCACTCGCATCATCGTCTATCAAATGACTGCTTTTACCTAGCGGGCAGCAACCGATAGTAGTAGTTAGTATTCTAAAACACCGAAGAAGCAGCCGTAATGAAAGCGATTTTTCGATTGGCTGCCTGTGTTTAACACATGGCGACGCACCCTCACCGAACGACGTATGAGTACCAGATAAATCCGTTTGCGTAGCCGTTTATTCATAGTTAGTTTAATCATTTTCTTGATTTGACATTTAATTGGTAACCGGTTTGGTATACGGATGATTATCTGCTCGAGGAACGCGGTCCTCATTCTGGACCTACCATTTACGTTAACGTCATTAGCAGCTGTAGCTAATGAGAGTCGTAGTAATTATTAGTGATACGAGGAGTAATGGTGGTCATGGCGCGCTTGGGAGCGGCCTAGTGGAAATGACAAAACGAGTTAAAGCAGTATACCCCAAATTCGGACGGACAACCTCGTCGATCGTATCGTAACGTAGACCTGTGTCATTGTGCTTCGAGCTCATCCTTTGTTTCAGTCGCACATGTCTACGGTGTTCTCTGTTTGTCTGGAGTGTTATTGCATTCGTGCGTCATATGGCAAAGCGACGAGTAACGTTACGACTTTGCACCGACAAGCTTGCACCGTTCGTCCAGCTCCCTTGCCTGCCTGCCGTCATTGTATAAATCGTTAGTGACTATCGGAAAAAGAAAAAGTAGAATAAACTCACGCACATACTACCGTTTCTCTACGGTTTTATTATCTCTATTTAGTGGCATACAATTCTCAGCACTTTTGCTGGCGGAAAATAGCAAATTCGGTCGTACGCCTGGCATCGATCGGACTATCTGACTGGTGCTTACGTTGCTGTTGCTGCTGCACGTTTTGTAATGAGGTAGCCTATCCTGTTTTTTTTTTTCCATATTTTTTATGGTAGTCTAAGATGAGTCATAGCTGTTCTTGTAGCGTCTACGTTAGTTTTCTCTTCTTTCAGTAACGTTTTCGCTTACAAGTCGATGCTCGAGTTGTTTTTCTACCAAATGGCCATGAAGATATCTTCGATTTTGTTGTTCGTTCTGCCAACTCTGGTCTGTGTCATGGTTGGTTGGCACGCGATTGTTAGAGAAAATCACTTGTAATGCTAATCTAACTATAACAACTTACGCATCGGTGCGCGCTGATTGCCACACGAGGATCTATTAGAGATCAGACTGTCAACTGTTGCTTAGCTTAAATTCCATTCCTCTAATAATATTAGGATCCGAGGGACAAATTGTTATCTCAGCATCTACGGACGCCGTACGCGTCTCTGAGCAGATAGCCCTCGGCCAAGTGTTAAAGTGTGTTCATCCGATTTGAAAGTTTTGTCTTGCCGTGCTGGGTCTTTCTTGTTAGCAGTGTATCAGTGGTTTAGGTAATGTATATGTCATATTAGTTTCCATCATTAGATTTCCATTCAGCATTGTTTTCTGTAATGCGTCGCTTATGTAATGTGTCGCCTGTAGATTTGCCCCATACTATCGCACATGGCATACATAGAGTTTAGCCGCAATCAGATATTAGTTTAATGTATATATGCCTGTATTGCTGCCAGAGGCAGCTTTGTTCAAGCGGCAATGTTGGGCCAGGATAGCGGGAAAAGGTCCCTTGAATGTGACCATTCGACCCGCGCGCCTCTATATGATGCATTCTTTACAGCTGACAAAGTTGTATCAAAAACGAATAAGAACAAGATATGTTTCATAAAACAAGAGATATACAAAAAAACAAACCTTGAGGCCTCCTATATTGCTAACGGTATGCAACTCCTTACATAGCAACAACAGCGCAATCTGTTGCCGCCCTTCATCCATAATTAATTAACTTGTACTAATTAACCGAACAATCCGTCTTTGGCTCTCCATACGCTTAAGTGAATACGATCGCACCGAGTTGCTTACTTTTCCTCCCATTTTCTTTTTTTAATTATCTAAGGTCACTCTTACAACTGGTTCGTCACAATTGATCAGTGTTGTTACCATCACCATCATCATCCTTTAAGAACTATAATACAATTTCACAACGACAGGAGCAACGGAGCAGATCTTGTCCTCAGGTGATGTCTCGACTCTCGATGGAAAAGGGTCCGTAGTGTTTAGGATGGGCTCTATAAGTGTTTGATTCTTTACGAAGCCGGCGCTGTGCTGGGTGCTGTTGACAATAAATTATAGATATTATAACATAGTCATTTATGACTCACTATCTCTTGACCGAAGCCATAGGTCAACAACTTTCGCTGGCGTATCAGGCATCGCAGATATCCCCCGGAGCAGTGTTCCGGAAGCGAAACGTGCGTCACATGATATTATCCATTGTGAAAAATGATTCGGTCTTTCTTCGATTTGTTATCATATTACTACTACAATAGCTTTGGCGGTAGTTTCAACGGAACATTTCGCGTAAGTCATGGAGCTTATTTTTTTCGTCAGGTGTATAGCCTGCGCCGTGTTGAATAAACCCAGCACGGTTGTTGTCTATTGCTGTTCTCTCTTCTAGCTGAGCCCGATGTACGCTTACCATTCGCTCGATTTCCGACTCGCCCTATTTTAGCGGGCTTCGGATAAAGTCGAGGCGATACGACATAATTCAATAAACGATGATGCGACTATTCAAGCGAAGTGTTCATTGCCGGCCGTGGGAATCGGCCGCTGCTCGATGTTCTATAGAACTGTTTACAGTGCGAAACGTTCCCACCGAAGACAACCATCGATTTTTAGCCGACAATGGACGGCAAAGAAAAGCGCACTAGCCTTTGAATCGTTTGTGGCTAAAAGCCTAGCCTACAAAATCCCTACCTTCGGAGCGTTTCTCTCGAGGTAGGTTCATTCTATACTTACGTGTCTATGTGTTCCTACTCGAAGCGTCATCAAGACATCGGGCTCTAGGTCTGTTCATACCTTTCTATAGTCTCATTTAGCGCAGCATGACACTTACGTTAGACGAAATCTGAAGGATTTCGTGTAACGGCTAACGTATCAGCACAGAACCGGCACAAAGGCAACTCAACTTCCTGTAGATAGATTTGTCTGTAGTAGATATTCAGTACTTGACAGTTTGTGGAGCACAGCCAACAGAAAAGTCGACGAAACAATTGAAGGCACTGAAGGCAACTGAAATTGTACACTTCGATAGAGTTTAAGGGCTCTCATCGCGACTGCGGCAGTCGACAAGCAGCAGATTCGTGGTTTCACAGTTGTTCTCAGCTGGACAAACCCGGACGACAGGTAGTAGCTGTAAAACAATCAATTATTATCTAGCTAAACGAAGCCAGATAAGTGTAAGGCTTTCAAAGATGTTTACAGATCAGCTTGTTAAAAAAACCATCTATAAATGAGATCGTCGACATTTGTGTGTACGATCGTTGGTCATCTTCCACTTATCGAGTAGTTGATTTTTAGTCGTCTTTCGCGCAGAAAACCGCAGTGTTTATTATGCATACACTAATGTGATCTGTTCGAGTTCGAGTATATTTAGCATATGCTAATCGTTGACAATGTATGGTCATTAACGATAATGATCCAGGCGAAGAGTTTTGAGCGGAACCACGCTTGTCGATCTTAGCATAACAGTTCGTGTTGGGAGCGATCCTTCTCTCTGTTGTATTTAAGTAACGGGGCAACGTCCGGGGTGCCCTCCTAACGAACAGCATCCGAGGGTGCCACCTCCTCGGCCAGAAGGACTGCGCGGTAGAAGTGGATTAACAGCCAAATATGGTGATGAAATAAGTGGTCCTTTAGGCGACGACTTGAGGCCCAGGCCACCGTTCGCTAAAGACAATTTGCCACGCTTTGTATTCTTTGAATAGATGAGCCACCGTTGACCGCCTGAAAACGAGACAAGGAGCAAGGTGTGTATCATCGAGTGTCGGTGATTTAGCGTTTGACATCGTTCATCGAAAAATAAAATTATCACGTAAGCATTCTTCGCACCCAGTTTCAACCTGCTTTCCAAAGTGTATCCGAAAACCTTCCGAATCTTGTATTCTGGGGCTATGACGATTAAATCGAGCATAGTGTTAGCTATATGCAGAGATGTAAGTACCTTGTATTCTGTAATAATTTATATGATTTATCATTTACTATACGCTCCAGATGTATGTATTAGGCTATTGTACGAATCACTGTAAGTGACAAAGTTTCTTTAGACCGTAAACATAGCATTGGACGATCGGTTCGAAACATTATGAGAGGCATATTTAATAGTTTTCAATCATTCCCATTGGAAACAAAATGATATAATGAAAATTAACAAAATAAGACTTCGCCAGATTTCAATAATATAAGCAAAGGAAACAATTTAAAATTACCGTTTGTTTACATTAGTTCAATAGTGGCACCGCAATGGAACAGCAAAACATCTTAGTAACAGGGTGCCGTCGAAGAGTTTAGGGCCGCCGATTGCCGTTCTCGATTGTCTACTCGTAGCGTACTTTAATATATTGTCAGTTCAGCAGACATCTTGTCTAGATATTCCACCGGCTATCTTTGGACACGATAAAATGTCATGAATAAGCGCCATGATTCAGTTGGAAAATGATCGAATTCACTTACGTGAGCAAATGTAGAGCGTCGGGCACTAAAAAGCCTAATAATTATGAATGTGTCCTTTATCCAAAACCGGTTTCAGAGGCTCTACATGTTTTAAGACGCCTGTTGATATGACGTATTACCGTATTGATAGTATACTGCTTCTGTTACAGAACGGTAAGTGAACGTTAAAAGACCTGCAGTCAAAAAGTCACATACTCTGCGACCTGGATCAATAGATATTGAAAATAAAGCGGATAAAATTGGTAATTTTTATAATAAAAATTGACTTTCACGATTCACATCAGTAAAACCGCTGAGAACACGCTCAGTCTTTTTACTAACGCCTTGTGTAGAAATATAATGAGAGAAAGTTATTCGGATGACACAGCTGTGAAGGGTTCCAAAGATCTACGCTAACCATGTCGATTGTGTCATACGGCTCTTATAATTTCAGATACCACCAGTACCAGAAACAGGACTCAATGTTTTTGTGTAAACAATCTTTACTTGAGTCCTGTTTTATCAGTTGGTTTTACCGTACTCTTGCTTGGCAATGCAAATTTAAATGCTACGTACCATATAGTATTCAAGATGGGATCGCCAGCTTAGTATACTCAGCGAATTTGCCAAGGGTTAAACCCTCTCCTGCTGTATTACTCGGCTTGCCTCATTAAGGCTCAACTCCTCATATTAAATGCCACGTTGTAAATGGATCTCTGACGTGTGGGTGGACATAGGTTCCATGCCATGAAACGTTACACAAATCCTCACTAAACATGAAGTTCACAGAATCTAGAAAATAGCACCGAGATAAAGGTGCGTAGAGACCGATCTGTGTGAGTAGTTAATATAAATATCGGCCGCTTACGATGGTGAAGTCTTAAAGAAAAGCTAAAAAGAAAAAAGTCAATAGATACACCGAAACCTCGAGTTACATCAGTGGAGGCTTGTCGAAAGAAATTGGTGAGAACTTTATGCATGCGTGTTACTAACTGCATTCTTTTAATTGCATGAATTTGTAAGGTTCTGAATTGTGCACGGCGTTCGCATGGATTGGAAGGAACTATACAATGAGCGCGATAGAAAATTCTGTTAATATTTATTAGTAGCGCTGGCATACGCTGACTGCGTAGCGGATACAGCGTCGTCTAAGTATGTGTATAACATCAAGGATCACGTTTCTGTTTGTAACAACACCTACTGCTTGTGGTGGCAGCCGGTCGATCCTGGTAGCATTGAAACCATTTTCGCAGACGAGCGCTCTGCCAAATTTTCTTTGAGGCGGTCAGAAAAGACTGTGACCGTCCAGGACTGGTTGACGATAGTGCACCAACCTTCGTGGCTTGTCTGCTTTTCTTACTAAAGTGCACCGCCTTTCCTGCTCGTCAGCGTCACGCATTAAATCAACCGTTACCTGTAAAAAGACAATCAACAGGATGGTACATACTTAACTCAAGGGGAATCAATTACTATGAATTGATAGACAGATTTTCTATGTTGATTATATGAAATCATATTGTCACTCTACCACTGACGTGCGCCAAAAAGACAAGCTGCTCAATATTGGTAACGTAGATAGCAATGTTTTAGAATATAAAGAATTCTCCATACACACACACACACACACACACAGACATATATATATTTCAGTGTTTTGACGCTAGGATTTAATGATGAAGTCATTTATGGAAAATTAACGGCCTAATCGAAAATTACCGTTTAAAGCACTGCAACATATTTTGCTACATAACAATTAAGTTGTAAGGCATTTACCTCTCCGATGAAGAAATGACTATCGTGACAGCCATAATCAGGGACAATTTTATCGATTTCTAGATCAGAGGATTGCACGGCTTCTGGCGGTGATCTAAAGCTCCAAAGGCTGACTACAAGCCGGCGCGTGCTCAGCTGTTCATTGTCTACCTCCGGATAAAGCATTGTTTGGTTCCACGTGGGCTCTACCGATAACACTGGATGCGCGCGACGTATGTTCCGCTCTCTGAAAATATCATATCACAAACATGCGCTCTTGTTGTTCCTATCAGATCCCATTGAAACGACGTTCAACGTTGACGCTAACAATTCGTCCTTTTCTATAACATTCAAAGCTGCTCTCTGCATCAATTGATTGTAATTTCATAATGTAATAGACATGCCGAAATCGCACTATACATTTTACTCTACTCTACTGAAAAAACCACTTAGAGTTGTTTGCTAAATTCAATAATGACATCTTGGAACTGGGGGATGCAGCTTGACCAGTTCGGCAATCCGTGATGATTTTCCGTGCTAGTTTAGCGGGTAACGTATTTACTTGCTAATCATGAGTGTACGTTGTGGTCTGGGTTCGAAGCTGAGAACACTGCGAAACGAACGTACGGTTTGTTTCGCGCTGGGAGCCAGCCATCTGATGGAATGGCTAATGGCCATACTGAACATAAAGTATATATATAGGAAGAGAGAGAGATACATATCGATCATCTGGAGGCGTTTTTAAAGTGAAACAGCTAACAAATAATTCATATATTAGGCGAAAAGCCTAGAGTCATGTGACTGTCGGCGGGTATCTCGAATCTTGCGATCCCCTCAAAAATTAGGTGCTCGACAATCTCGCCCAGTATCGAGCAATACGCAGCCGTAATGATAGGTTTCTATATGGAATTGTCACCGGTGACAAAAAGTAGCGTCACCACATCGACATAAAGAGAAGAAAGGTAACTCCAGGGAATCTGAAGCCTAAAGCTAAGCCAGGTATCCCATCTAGAAAGACATGCGTTGTATTTGGCGCAAGTTGAAGGATCTTAAAGATAGGAAAATGCGTAAGAAAAAGAAATGAAGACGGTCAACAAAGATCCGCATTTGGTCTAGTTGCATCTATTGAACAAGGCGATCCAAGAGAAAAAACTCTATAAGATTAGGCAAAGTCATCCTCCTTTATGAGAGTATTGGGCCGCACATGACAAAAATAGTGAAAGACGCCTGGCAAGAACTCAAATACAAAATACCTTGCTACTTGCAGTATTTTCCGGATCGCATGTCTACGTATCCGTTTCCGTACATTCAGCAGTGACGAGGGTCTTAAAACAAGGCTGAACCGCTTCTTTAACACTAGAAATTGACAATTTCTGCCAGCAAAGAAGACAGACGTAAACTTAGAAACACAAATGAATTGTGACGACTAATGGCAAGTTCACAATGAACTATTTTGTTAGTAGAGCTTCAGTAAAACGGTGCTTTTTTTGTTCGATGAATAAACCGACACTACTTGGTTACAGCTTTGTACGAAAAGAGCCTACCTTATTACTCTTATTGTAGATTATAAATATAGAGTATGCATGTATGTTCTATATTAAAAATATTTCACAATCTGCACACCTGTCGCCGGGCATGAGTGTGCACTGTGCATATGGCTTGAGCGATCGCGATGAATGGTGACTTTTCCATGGATGGCGAGCTTTCAATACGCCGACGTAAAGGATGCGCGTTCGAAAGTCGTGACAGATCTGCAGCTGTAACAATAGCAAAATTGATTTCAAACATTGTTATTGCCGCTTTTACCTATTTCGCTCAGGACTGACGCCTCGTTCACGAAATAACTCCATCTATTGCACCATTTGAGTTAGGGCTGAATAACCATACGAACGATATTTAGTACAGAGGTGCCACTTACCATCACTTCCCCACGAATCGGCTCTTGTACATTCTGTAAGCTAATCAAGAACGAACACGTAAATGATACCTTAACTATACTGATAATAATAAAGCGCACAGACACCCTATACAATGTGTTTGCACTAACATTAAGCTGAACATTCATCACCTAACATTGACTGCTTAAACCAACGCCGTAATACCACACGATGACATAACCATTAAAGCCCAACATAAATATATATAGCCACGACAATAGAAGCATCCAGGATTAGAATATAGCAATGGTTATTGACTGCCGCTGTTTAAATGAGGTCGCTTTATTGTAGTAGTCATTGGAGAACTTTAAAGCCATGATTTGAATCAGTGTTAGGGGAAAGCTTGGGCGTAAAAACAATATGACATCAATATAATGTATCACATCGCACACCACCGGTAAGGGATTACTTTACATTTGTGTTTGTATATGTTAGTGTGTGATTCTGTAGAACTGATTCAAGCAGAATCACAGCTTCAGGATGGGTCAGGTCAAGCGGCGAAATAGTAATGGACGACATGACTATAACCTATAAATATCGTATCCGTGTAAAAGCAGTAGACATAATTGGTACACATTTTTATTTAGGAACGATGTCCTACTACCCTAGCTTGAATTAAGAGTTTTGTTTTTAGATCTGTTAGCGTATAGTTTAGTCGATCCCGTCGGTGATTCGCAATGGGCACTCAAACTATACGGTTCTTGGCTCTTCGAGGTAAGGCCAACTGCCTGGCTCTGGTCTGGGTCATCCGGATTAGCAGTCTAGCAAAGATTGTCTAATTTAGCCCTTACACGAAGGTTACTAATGATAATAATAACTATGATGACAATAATTGCGGTCAAAATCATCCGGACGTCACAGAACAATTTCGAAAAATTATCAGGCAGTTTACGCATACAGCTTCGCAAACACCCTCGAATTTCGTTCGCAGAAAAGGTTTCAGGACAATTACAATCGTTGGAAAGGCATAGTTCTAGTGTCAATGCACACAAATTAGATAATTATTATAAATACTATTAGGAAATTTCTGTCCTTTAATGTACTAAGTTTTAAAGAACTTCGAAAAATAGTTTTAGTCGGCAATTAATTCGTTGTGCATGTTTCCATAGAGGGAGGCTTATAAACAACGTGACAAGGACCATAAACAAATGACCTTTGATCCCTAGACGCCACCGCGATGAACAAGTTTTCTACGTATAATACATATTTCCCAATTTATCAAGGCAGATATATTTAAAACTCTCTACTATTTCATATCCGTTACCTCGAAAAACTTACTCGTTCATGATTCATTAGACATTTCCTGATGTTGGCGGTGTCCTGATATTGTTATCTGCAAGTTATATTACATGAGAAGGTCATGGATCTCAGTTAGTTTAGCTGAGGCGAACTTGGAGCTTGGGTAAAAAAAATTTTATAATCAGTAATGCAACGGAGGTCTCACTGAACGTATTCCTCTACGGAAAGTGCGATTAGTCCTATTAAAAACTACACTGTGATACGACTTAACGAAAACATTGGCTTAGGAAACAAATAAAAGCATAGGTAGATATAACACATTACACAGATGAAACATCACAATGACTAAATTAGCGACTGGCGAGTGATGGACAACAACTGGCTTCTTCAGGTTACCGGACAATGAATCTTATCACTATATCGGATATACTAAAACGACAGAGACTACTATCATCTCACGAATTTGACGAAAGCCAGAACTAATGTTTATCCATCCAACGACAAACCGGTCATGCGTCGCCATCGCTACCTTCTTGTCTCACCCGTTGAGACGGGGTACTCGTAGCTAGCTTAGCTGATAAGCCGACGGCAACCAATACCATCAGGCTTGATATCATTAGAAAAAGTGTAAAGTAACTTCAGTAAGCCAATTGTCTGATAAAACTCTTTTGAACTGAAAAAAAACACCAAATTTTCACTTCCCAGTTTTCTGCTGCTTTAGATTTGCTAAATAGCTCTCTTCCTGAAACAGTCGTTTAACAATCTGCCTTCATGATGGTGATGCTGATAATGATAATGTGACTGACGCATATATCCTGACGGAGGACCTATTGAGCAGACAGACCTAATATAATATTCTGTATAAATAGAAGTAGTAAAGATTATTTCGTCTACAAGACTGATCTTTAGCGAACATTAAACGATTTGCTCGAAACGAGTTTTTTCGAGCTAGGTGGCACTGGAATAGCCATATATATATATATATATATATATATATATATATGCAAATGCTTTCGAAACACATTTTTCCTGAAATTGATTATATTCAGATTTAGTGGGTGGATTAATGCTTGCAGTTAATGTACGGATGGGAAGACCGTTGTGATTATAGATGAGACCTCCACTTAAAGAAAACGATTGATTTAGTAGTCTCAAAATATACCAGTATAGTAGGATCATAATCTTCTGTATCTTGTCTCTTATTATTATTATTATTGATAATACATCTAACTAGTCAGTGCTGATAGAAGATTTATTATATTTACTCCAATGGCCGCATTCAACATTGGTTGTTAATAAGGCCTTATCTCGTTACCAATAGTGGGCATATGTATACCTTATAAGATGCCTATCTTACGCCATGTTGGCTACCATTTGATGGTTTCGGTGGCACTATTAACGAGTACGTACACAATCACTACAAGCGCCCCGTTACTGCTTTCATATGCAGTCAACAATAGATAAAAACAGTAGCTTAGGTTTTCAGATGGTGTAATCACTATATAATACCGCCTGGGTGTTTATTGTACTAGAAATGTAGTCCTTTACGTACCTGTTGACACTCTATCTTCGTCTGCTAAGTTCTCCCGAGATGGTGACAAGGTACTTGAGGCTTGATGCATTTGAGGTGCTCGAGTTCGAGACTGGGGGATATGGTTGGAATCACTGGAACACAAAAATCCAATTAATATAAAATGTCTGAGCTAGTTTGTTTATGTTTGATGTAAATAAGACCAAAGCACAACTAGCAAGGGCAGGCCCAAATTCTTACCTTTTGAGCACGACTTCAATTTCGGGCTCTCCATGTGTGCGCGCGATTATCTGGCGTACCTCATCGGCCCCACGGCCCTGTAAGGGGATGCCGTTCCATTCGACCACCTGGTCGCCTACACGCACTTCTCCCTTGGTTAAATTTTCATTCGCCACCTGAGTGACGAACGCTCCCAGACCTCCAAGGGCGTCTTCGCAATAACGTCCGCCAATCACCTCAACACCAAAACCGCTGGCCACGGTCTCCCCTAGGTAAACGCCAAAACGCAAGACAATGACAATTGACAAAACACAAAAAGGGGAACACCTACTAGTACACGTGTAACGGGGTCTATTCCAAAAGCCACTTCTGGATCTCCGCCGAGCGCCGTGGCACGCTGTCAAAATAGCCCTGATTTGGTGTTTTGTCAATCCAGCTTACCATTGGGCGGTACCGAGTGGTCTCTGGGATGGTCCCGTGTGAGCAAAATTCGCTTTATCTGAAAGGGGTATTTGGTGTGTAGCGAGAAGGTTGGCCGGCGTTGCAGCTGCTGTTGTAAAGTGGGTTGGTACTGCTGAAGATCCTCCCGGATGGGTCTGGGAATATCGTTGAGGGCCGCTGAATGAGGCCGCGCTGTAGCCGGGCCCTGGCTGGAGGTAGGCACGACTTGGCAACTTGCTTTGCTGGGTACGCTGTCGAAGTTCCTGTTGTTGTTGCAAAAGCTGGTTGATACCGGGCACTGCTGGCTGTAGTGGCCGGAGTGGGAGCGGTGCTGCTCCTTGCAAAGAGGTCCGATATGGCAGGGGGTTGTTGCCAAGCGGCTGGTCTCTGGGCCCCCCAAACGAACCCGTGGCTCCCGCTGAAATAAGACCTCTGTGAGTACCGATCGGTCGAGCGTCAATTTATCAACAATGATTATACGACTCAGAAGAAATACAGCCAATATTTAACACTACTATAGTGTTGCATATTGATTGTACAGCGAGCTTTAACGTATTTTCTGCGTTCCCTCTCTGCTCCGTCCCGCCAGACAAACGTCATTTATATATATCTAATTTATATGATGAAATTTTATAACAATCAGTGTTCGGAATAAGCTAGGGCATGGTTGGAAAGCTATGCCATTTTCTAACAGGTTTATAGAAATATAAAAGATAAAAAATATTATGTTAAATAACATAATTCTCAAGGCATTGCTTTAGAAGTAATTAAGAAAGGAGGAAGAAAAGTATCTACCATAAGGTCTAGAGCACAAATGACATGTTCAAAACAGGCGACACCATGGGGCACCAGGTAAGCTCTGAAAAAAGTTTTAAAAACTGATTGATGCATCTCGAATATGTAAACATTCCTTAAACTGCTAATCCTAAATTCTGAAGCAGAAAGCACGGCACGAAAACAATCAATTGACCTCAAGCGCGAATTGAACCTGGTTTAATATGGTTAGGTTAGGTCTGCAATCTATTTTTTCTGCCTAAATAACAGTACCCAACCCTGGTGTAGCGTACTTCTTAAAGTAATCAAGCTGGATATTTGGCCAAGTATTTCGATTCTGACATACATATGTGGGGCATGATCAATGGATGCGGCGAAAAGGTAAAAAGACATTTGAGTTCATCCAAATTCACTGTAGGCAGGTTATATGTAATAGTTGCTGCGGACGATAGGACAAACTTGAGAGGCGTTCCTAGTATGCGTAGTCCTTCGTCTTGGAAAGGTTCAATCAGTGGCAGTGTCGTTTCGTCACAGGTTAAATTACGGACGGTTTGAAAGATGTTGGTAGATTTACGTACAGGCACTTACAGACAAGAATATTTCTGATAAAACGTTGAATAGGAGGGAAGGGGAGCAAAAAATCTATAACAAAAAGAATTTCTTCGTATAGTAATAGTATAATAGTACAAAGGTTGCATGACAATGTATGTGTAGCGTGAAACAGACGGACATGTCTGGTGAGGGAGGGACTCCTCGTGTCAACCTCAAAAAAGGCTGATGCCCAATTAGTACTTCGATTGCATTGACAGGTAGAAAGAGGAAAACTTCGATCAAAGGTGCTAATTTCATAAGTGAGACAAATGGGAAGGGAGGGCGATAGGTTAAATTGACTCGTTCGAAGAGCAACCTACACAAAATTCTCCTCCGCGTCAAGTCATATCAAGGAGAAAAGAAACGAACTGACACTAGAAGTAGGTTAAAGTAAAGAGCGAATGATGCTTCATAGATGAATGAAACGAGTGAATCCTTGAGGTGTGAAAGTACATACAATGGAAATATGCATACGTGAGTCTTACTTGGCTCTGTACAGCTCTTTGCATAGACAGGATTGCTTGCAGTGTAGGCGGCACTTGGCACTTTTGCAGGTGAGCGAGGTCTGAAGACATCCCTGAGTCTACTAATCCAGTCCATTCAGGCAATAAGCACGCAGTATAAGAGGGTGGCCAGTCAATCACGAATCAGTCAATCACTGTTGCCATCATGATCCTCATTTGCATCATCATAGTCGGTGTACTAGCAATGAGAACTGGCATTAATGAATAAAGGTATTCGAACGAAAAGTACCAATAATAGCGATTGCCATGGTAGAAATATGTAATAGAAAGAGCAGTTGTTATCGTCATTCGAAAGAACCGCCATCAGCTACCCAATTTAATTCAGAATTATCAATCAAGAGACAGGCCTCTTCGGCTCGTGCAGTATTTATTGGGCCAGTACGACCACATATAACTGCCATATAACTTGTCGATTAAGTTGCTTTAATGGTTTGCGGTTCTTAATGGTTGAGCGATTTTCTGAGAGCCATCGATCAACATTTAGTGAAGTCATCAATCAGTCAGCAAACAACATCCCTCACGCTACAGGGCCGTTTCTAACTAATCAGGCTTGATTAACTCACTAAACCCGGTAAATACATACCATAATACTGTATATATGAAATTATATATAGTCGGATACGAACTTCAGCAAACAGAAATTGATACTTGTGGGGTGAAGACTTGTGCAACACTCACATAGCCATGGTTATCTTGCTTTTTGTCATCCAGCGATCTTTCTTATAATACTCTTTAAAACCAGGTAAGTTGCAGGCCATGGCATTAAACGGAGTAGCAGCAGAAGAATGAGTACATCAGTCATCATCAATCACTATCATCATTCCGACCGCAACAGTCATTAGCATAGACTCATAATAACAGTCATCATTTCACAATACTAATTCGATAATCAGAATACCGACAGCTATTTATCAAGCACCATCTACAAGTAATTGGAGGGTCGACTATGGGTACGAGTAATACTTTTGTCGGAAAATGATCTATCATGGGACCTTCAGGCAAAAAATGGCGTACCTGTATTATAGACAAGCTCAGACTAGTTTAACGACGGCTACGCTGCAGAAGTCGCCCACGCGAGGTGGAAAAGGAAACTTATTTAGCCTACACTTAAGTTGAGTTGCTTTTGAAGCAACGGAAGGAATTCTACTTTCGAACAGTAAAGAGGACGGACGGGTCTCAGGCGTTGCAGTGAGTAACGCTAAGCGGCACTGATCAACCTGTAGTGATCTACTGGAACTTACAAAAGCGCATATGACGTTGACTTGACAGTGGCACGCTGCCAAGGTTTTCAAGCACTCCTCTCGATCTGGTGGGCATGTCGGGAAGTAACGGCATGGCTGGTGTGGCCATCGAGTCGGAGGGCGTCATCTCAGGATCCGTCGTGAACGGCGAGAAATCGGCTGACATCATCAACGGCTCAACGTACGGAACGGATGTCGAAACCACGTCTCGGTGACGCCGACCCGCCATCGCCATCCTGTAACATATAGCATCGTCGCACAAGTTTATGGTCTCTGTCTTTACTACCTCTCGGCTCACTCACGAAGACCATCGGCAGTACTTAACCAGCATTCGAATATGTATACGTTAACCGCAAGAAAAACGAAAGAATCGTTACGATCCTTACAGCTATAGAACAATGATTAAGTGGAACGTGTCGTGTTATGTCGTGCTAGAATGAAGTTTTGACTGATAGGAGAAAAATTTAACGGAATACGAGCCGGAAAATATAAACATGATACTTTTAGGCAAGCAACAACTATTTATATACATGCAGAGCACCAGGTGCGGTAAGCTAAATTACGGAAATTCGAAAACAGATATCCGGAGTAGATGCCTAAGAAGTTGAAGGAGTTACGTATGACATAGAAAATTCTACGCTTTACATGCAATCGCAAAATATGTTGTGCAGACCCACGTTAGTAACTAGTGACCACGCTAGTAACAAGAAGAGGGATCGATGACGGATCCTGGATATTGAACAAACAGGCTTATGTTTGAATTTGGTAAAAGGTATAAAAGTATAATCAGGTCAGATCTCTTGTGGATCTGTTTCCGCTGCTGGTGCCTACCGATCGTCATACATATCCATTGAATAGCCAGGATCGGGCTGGCCATGGCTGATTCCAGCCGGGCCGAGGGTCTCGGGGTATCCGCCGGTCGCGGGGTATTCGTCCCCCAGGCTACGACCGCGAAAGAGCGGAGGCCGCGAAGAGGGCCCGATCGCTCCGTTGCGCTGAGGTATCGTTGCATAAAGGTCGTCCTTGTAGTAACCGGGCTGATGGATGCCGGCAGCTGTTCTCACAGCTCCATAGCCTGATGTCGAAATAGGTTGCCCTAGAGGTCTCTGAACACCGCCAAGTGGCCCTTCCATAGTAAGACTTTTCTGGCCGCGTGCTCTGCAACCAGAATTGCCGTAGCATCGGAAATAAATAGCCACCAACGTCTATTGTCAACAGAGTCAACAAGAGCAAGTGGAGTAAGCTCACGCTTATGCAGTGGTTCATACTTACTCAGCTTGGATATAAGTTTTACCTTAGTCCCAAAATTTGAATGAGTGCTTATATATTGAATACTAACTGGATCTGTTTCGTAGCTATTTAGAACATCAGTATCATGTCACAGACATTCCGTACAAAAGCCTTATGAAGGCGACCTCTGCGCAATGGCTTCCCGCAAAGTGCAGGAGTGCTCGTTTCTCCTCAAATTGGGCGGAACCACTCTCTCTGATTGCAAAAGGCTAAGTTAACCTTTTGCGGTAAAGGCACTGAGCTTCAATGAAACTGGACATAGGCCACTGTCCTTTTCTAGCTAATCTATTAATGCACATTTCATTTATAATTATGCGCTCTGTTAGATGCCCGCCAATTTCATTCTGACTTCTAAGCTTCACCATTCGCAGCATGCAAGTTTTAGATACTTCCTTAGAAAGCTAACAACAATGCATTGACGTGATATAAGTGTAGAAAACAAACAATGAATAGATCCGGTGGTAAAAGACTTATTTTATCCTAAGAATTAGTATAATATAAATCTAATTCACAGTAAATGGACTAGTGAGAAGCGCCAGATTAAGTGATAACTTATCCTAGAAGGTATTTATATATCTTGTTAGATTGATACTTTTTGGTGAACTTTTTGTTGTAGTTAAAGTGAAACAACAAATTGGGTTTTATCGATGCTCACTGCTAGTGCTATTTCTGCTTAGGTTTCCATGTCGAAAAATTTACCCCAGCCACGTTTATAATTGGTTATATCGTATAGCTGTGAGTAACCTATTCGACTTTACGATATCTTAAATCACGATAACGAAATCCTTATGACCACATACAGAATCGCATCGATGCTCTCAATTTGTGTACAAATTTTTATGATAGTTGTTGCACTGAGTTACCTTACATCACCGGCCCACGACCATATGGGTCGGCGTAAAGTGGAAAAGTAGGAAACAGGATTGTACAGATTACGAATTTGCTGAGAGATTGTCAGAACTAACCAATCTCAGAATAGGGTTCGATCTAATGAGCAGTTTCAAACAAAGTCTTTTGATCGTTGGAAATCTCATCTGTTAAAGTAGCAGGAAATGTGCCCAAACTATTGCAATAAAGAACGAATTTACAAAATGCAACACAGTTTTAACAAAGGCACTTCAATACCATCTCTATGATACATGAGGCAAGAAATATAACAATGATTAGGGTGGGCATTCAAACCAGAAAATCAGCGCCAAATGTCTGATTGGTGCCACGTGCGGTGCACCTTAGCAATGTTACACGCGGATTCATCATATGACCTTTTTTTGGAAAGAAATGCCAGCGTGGCAGTAACTCTTGATCTGAAGTGTAGCATTGGAAAAGTGCACAAAAGACAGTCGCCAATCAATTGGCGCTCTCCACGTTGCTTATTTCGTTTGTGCTTAGCTTAGGAGGACCGTTTTCCCCCTATGTTTGTGCACATTTCGAGTATCAGTCACAGAGTGACGCCTGAAGTTTGAAGCTCTAAAATAGTAGTAGATATAATGGCCTGTAAACATCAGCCATTTGTGCATGTTTCCCACCCCGAACAACTAGCGACTCTATCCTTAACCATTGAAATTTTAAGAAAAAACACACTTTTTATTGGCAAAAAGTTGAATAGAGGAAGAAAGTTTCACGACGGGCGAGAAACTTATGACCGCGCTTGGTTCGCAGACATGTTAGCATCGAACATATTCGGATGCACAGATGCACACGTGTAGCATATTCCAGAGTACAACATCTATGTTGTATGTCCTATCTGTTCTATGAGTTTGCTACCTACGTCATTACAATTTTATACCATGTAATACGTTCTTAGGATAGTTTATAGGCACTGCTTTAAGATGCCGCTATGGAAGTATGCATAGTTAAATCCATTATGTATTATAATAATTTGCCTATCTCCTGGTACTTTACCAGATGTAAAATAAAAACACTGTTCAAACTATCAAGCATATATGTGTCTATGGTTGTGCTTGAAAAAAATCTGGAAGGTTGTTTTAGACGAAGATGGAAGAGCGCATCGTATACACATACATTGTAATTAGATTGTGGCTTGGATTTAATCATGGATAGTTTTTTATGCCAGAATATTAGATGACCATTATCACTAGCCAACGTTTAGTACAATCGGGTTGGCTTTTTGGACTTAGACGAAATGCAAGGTTGGTATGTGCCAATATTTAGATCATTCCTAACCTGGCTCTATGCGTCCCTTCATGCAATATGATTCATAGCCACGGTAGGCTTAATTATTAGTTTCGTCCTTTCTTATCAACAGCAAAGCTTTTGTCATCTAACGGACAAACATGTTGCCTCTAGCATTGTCGAATGATTAAATTCTTCACATAAAATCGAGCGCAAATAATGGCCTATACATAGAGTCTCATTTCTGATTTATATTACCCAGTTTCTAGCTAAATTTTGACATCTTTCAGAACATTAATTAGCCTTAGACCAGCTCAAAGCCACAAGACTTTGACAAAGGCACTATATCATGATAATAGTTATTCTGTCTCAACAGTCTGCGTAACGCCTACATTCAGACCTATATGGACCTACCAATCCTTATCTACGTCTAAACGTAATAGATATGTGCTTATGCTAATGACATTGAGAGTTTTGGCTCCTATGGCTGAAAAATAAGCCAATTTGCAAGTCTTTGAAATATAGGCAAAGCTTAAAATCGAGTAAAAAATGCGTCCCCAAAATACCACTTAGGTAGTCTATTGATGCAAACTATTCTACTATTAAACCGCTAAATTGACTGAAGCAGACGACAAGCGTAAGACAAGACACTTAATTTCTGTTACGTTCTAAGCAAAACTGACTTCTTCAGACGTTTGTGTGCTGTCATTTATGTTGGTAGGAGATAGTAGTAGTACTCACAATGGATCGTATTGCTGTGTGGCGTAACCGTAGGCTGTGGATGGTCTCTGCGATGTCATAAAGTGCTGCTGTCCCGTCTGCGTACGCAGATCCCTCTGCAAATAATCGTCTATAGCGTTCAACACGCTCCGTTGTTGCACACGATTGCCAAAACCACCCATTGCGCCCATCGCAGCGCTCAATGTTGGGTGGTGCAGTCCCCCTGTGGGGTGACCTAATGCACCCGTACCGTATAAGCTTGGGTCTGCCGCCACACCGTCTCGGTAGCCCGGCACTGTACAATACAGCATACGTAGAACATAAGCTAGCATCAGTGCGTTGTGTCATGTCAAATCACGTATCTGTATTGTATATGATACTTAGAATTATAAAATAGTACATTTATATAATAGAAACAAGTAAGCATCTTTAAGAACATGACTTTTTGATGAGCTAATATATAGCAAGAATATATATGCATTACTCATATATATATATATATTTGAATTTATTAGCTATACTAAAATTTAGATACATTTGGATTTAGGCGAGTGAGTCGTGTGAGATACAGCGATACAGATCTTCAAAACTGGAATATAGTCCAACCAAAAAATCGAGAAAACGAACTACAATACCCCTCAGCATACCGAAGACAATTTACTAAAATACTAGACAAGTTTTTACTGGATCCACACACAAGCGTATGTGTATTAATTTTCAACAGGCGAAAATGGATACGTACGCATCCGGGTATGCTTATGATTCGAAGTCTGTATGTCTCATTGGTGTGCATTTCGGTGGCGGCATTGACAAATAGGGAGAAGGGAATAAATACGCGTGCACTGCACGTCTATGGCAGGTGCCACTCCTACCTTGCTGAGCTTGGCCGAAAGTTTGGGCCTGTTGCAGTCGATGTAGTTTCCATAACTCGTCCTGCAGTCTTACGTTACCTTCAATCTGCTGTCGCCTTCGTGCGATTTCCGCCTGCGATTGAAGATATATTTAAGAAGAGCTAAGGAAGTTCTACATTTCAACACTGATATTCCGTGTAGAAGTGATTCAAAATAAAATCTTGTCATTTAAAGACCTATAGGTATTAACGGCATTTTATTATTGCCGCTCAGTGTACTACAATACGGCATCACAAATGATGTGACAGTATCTTGTATAAGAACAGTCCTCGAAATAACAGTATTTGATGTTGCATCGCGTGATGTATGCCACAGTCAACCAATCATTAACTTTTCCTTTTTCGAATATTGCCTTTATTAGTTATTCATTGCCCTCCCACTTAGATGGTAAGTAGGCCAAACATTTTTCATTAACGAACGAGTATAGAGACTTGCTCCATATCATCTTAGTAAAAGAACAGTGGTTCTCTCTAGATTCTTGAATTAAGCTTGCGATATACGAACAAGGCTTCTAGTATAACGGCACAACGACACAAGTTTTTTTTTAATTAGCCGAGTTACTTAAATTTTAGTTTGAATTGCAGGCCATTATATATTGTTAAACAGCGTGCAGGTATAGACGTACATATGAAATTTCATTATCTAGTCCCTAACTTTAACACGCTGTAGTTAGCGTTTTCCTGTCTGGCACCTATCTAAACGGACCTGAAGAACGATCGCTTTGCTTAAAAATTCGCCTAAATGTTTCCAGTTCTACGCGCGGTACTGCCGTTGAGTAAGCTATGGAGCGCTGGACCCTAGCACGAGACAACGCGTGCTTTCGCTCGACTACACTAGCTCATACGTCTCTAAGCTAGATAAGCGAATGCGTTACTACAAGACCGTCAAGGAGATTCGAAAATGTGTACAACGCCGTCAAAAAATATTTCAGTGACGACAGCAATAATCGACAAACATGGTTTATGTACAATAGGAAATAATTTGTGCGGCGGGGAAATAAGGGGGCTGAGCCAGATGGGGAAGGACTACCTTAATCTTTGCCTTGCGCTCTTCTCTGGCAGGATCTTCCTCGTCTTCGGACACATAGGGCGACGGGTGCCACGATCTCGGCTTCGATCGACTCCTCGCTTGGCCGCCTAGAAAGAGTAGCGCGAACGTCTGTATTATGTCATCAAAGCAAAGGGTGTCTCGGTATTTAACAATACGCACGCGCAGACTGAGTGTCATTCTTTTTTGTATACTGAAATAGAAAAAAAGAAGTTGTCCCTGACCAAATTAATTGAGTCGCATGTTTGACCTAAAGATGAACTGAGGTTAAGCGCGACCCGCTGCCAGCAAATCGAATAGGGGGAAACGGGTTAAAGTAATGGCCTATTTGTTTCAATCCGAAAAGTGCCGTGGCAATTTTTCAACCTGTAGTAACTAGCATATTTAGCTAGAAACAAACACTCTGTGTGCAGCTCCTTTTTATTGGAACAAAAGATAGGGAACTCATGTTCACGTCCTTACGAAATGTGTAATTTTGCTATTGTGCCATGGCGTACTGCGGCGAGTGCTTCAACGAGCGTTCTAAAAAAATATTCAATCAAACGTTAGAAATTAGGTGATTTTCTAGTGATACGCTTGTTTTGACATCATTTACACATCATAAGATCTATGACTTGGACGACGTTTGATCAGGCCGCTACTCAGGACTACATATTTTTTAAAACAGTAAAAGTGAAAAAAGATGTGGGGGACGGTTACTGATTCAAACTTCTGTTCTATTTATGCCTGGCCGAAGTGCGTTTACAGGTTTTGAGCGAATTTTTGATGCTATAGACCCTTTTATATCTACCACCGACAAATATATGTATTAAAACTTTTTGGCTGTAATTAGAAAATGGTATATGTTGAGTATATTCCAAATTAGCCTACCGACTTAATGCCGACTGACGAAATTATTGCAACTAAGGCAAAATAGACTCATTGTAACAAAACCCTTTTCAGTCACTGGTCAGCGAATCTCGAACCACAGATTGAACTCGATTATTCAAGTTTACGTAGCCTCGCCCGTTGACTTGTAGAGCATGCATGCTTATGACTGTCCATCTACTCGTATGTGGGAGGTCAAAATGTGACATGTGTTGTTGATTATCGACCAGGGAACAACTAAGGGCGACAGGTGTTACACTGACCTGCCAATAGAGGCTGTGGGGTCCTTGTGGGACGGCCAAGCGCCGACCGGGCCCGCAAGGGTAGCATATGGTGGTGTTGCGACATTGTGCCTATAGGCCCGATCAGCGGATCATACGCTCTCCCCCGTCCCAGGGGATCAATGGCATCCATGTCGAGCATGGAATACTGGCGGAGCGGAATCGACGGACCGAACCCGGATCGAATAGCCGGGCCTATGAAAACACAAAAGACACGAAGCAAAACTTCTCACAGAACGATGCGATAACTACGTATACCACTACATTGCCTACATACACCTACAATTCATTAGATAATTCAGTACGGCGGGATAATATAACAGCATGCGTGGAACACCTTACAGACCATTATCGAGGCGGCAGCTATATACCATGCCAGTGTCCTTCAGTGTGACTTTCGCAATGAAGTATTATTGTATATCGAGTTATTCAGCCACAGTTGATGCAGTATTGACAAGCAAGTGTATGTCTGTCGGTGACGCGAGGGCTGAATTCGGTACCAATTCGATATGATAAACAGTACAAATAGTCAAAATTATTGTTGCTGGTTGTCTGGCATAGTGCAGTGAACAGTAGATAGGTTCAGAATTTGTATCCGTTTAGGGCATGCCTTATGTGCACTCATGCATCAATATATACTTCTGCATATTTCAAGCTAGATGTGTTTACTTCATCGATAGAAGATAACTCTGGTAGAGGAAAAGCCCAAAGTCGTCCATGACAAAGGACGCTTTTCTCACATGTTGTTTTACTCGGATTCTATAAACTAATCGATCTATCATGTAGCCGTCATCGTACGTTTCCGTTTTTTAATGAACTTATTTACTCCTTCTCACCAGAAATCCTCAAATCGTTATATGTGGATACACTGTGTACAAAAGACCTTAAGCTCCTGCAAGGTAACTTCATTATGTGTAGCTTAACCTTGTGTACAACTTTATCTTGTCTACCAGGTTTTCCTACTTCATAGCCTTGTTTAACTAGCGCAACTATGCCATATACAGGTTGTTGCTTGCCGCCTTCTCAAGCAAAGTTTGAAACAGCAAACAACGAATTTCCGAATTGTACCTTTTTTTTGCATCAAAAACGCTCAAACGCGGCCTAAAACAAAAAAAAAATCCGCTCATTGCACAGTGTAAATAAATATGGCCTAAAGAGAAAAGACGCAATATTTCTGAATGTTAATAAACACTGGAGAGGAAGCAACGTTATTACCCATGTACCAACTCAATACCGAACGACCATCAAGTGGGCAAAGTGCTTCTAGTTATCTACACAATAAATCTGGTGCTTAGGTAAACAGCGAGCTTTCAAAGCCACAACTCATTCAAGTGCCTCTAGCTTATATCGTGATCACGGTAAAATATAATTGCGAACTTCTTTTATTGATCATTGCCATACACATGCAACGTCTTATACGTTTTTACGAAAATAATTGAAATCGGTTCTTCTGCAGGGGAAGAATAAAAAATTCGAATGTGTATAACTCGGTTGTTCAGAAGAACAAACGCGCCCGTCGGGCGAATCGTTTTCTCATGAGCCGTCTACTCTAAAGCTCGAACTGAATCGGTTTTTCCATCGTTGCCATCACAAAAATGATTTCGACATGGTAGCTTCCTACCGACCGTTTTCCTGTACATTAACATTTTGCATTTTTTACCAGAACCCTTTGTCCGCTATAGTTTATGCACACCTCTCCATAATCTACACATTACAAACATTATACCAAATCTTTGCTTTGTTGTTAGCATATTTTTATTGCTATTAGTAACGTATCATTTCCTATACGACTAGAAATCGGATCGTTTTATTATTAGTACTTTTGTAGCGGCAACTTTTTTCCGTCTTACGCGCCTGCCTTACTATACCTTCCTTTTTTGGCTAAAGGCTGTTATAATACGTGAGTTTTGTCGGGTCATTCTTTGTGCTGTAAAAGCTGGAGATGCCCGAAGTCGCCGGTCAGCTCTCGACCCATCAGAAAGCGCGGCGGCGTTCGTGTAGTTCGCTAACATTAAAATAGACGTATTGCAACCCATTGTCCGATTTCAAACATATCGATAAGCTAAAAGGGTACAAAACTGAGAAAAGGGCGGTCACGACATTCTTGGTGACTGTCGTCTATAACGAGACAATTTCCCAATAAGAGCTATGATTATTCACAGAATATACGGCCTTTCTGCCTTCTACGGCGAATATTCTCTCGCACGTAATTTCATTTTGTCACCCCGCTTCCCCATAGGCTTCGAGAACCTCTCGTGAAAGCCCAAAGGTACTTGGACAGGCGAGCGCCTAGGCGGTTCAGGTGCATTAGTAGGCTAGTGTCGGCCTATAGCTCACGATAGTATGGCTAGTATTATTGGTTCCGGTAGTTACACGTCCGTCAATTGCCCGAATACGTCATTAATGTAGGTTTCGTCTCTGTGTTTCTCAAACAGGTAATCTGCAATTATTTTGTAGATAATCAACTCAAAACTTGAAGTTAATCTAATGTGCTAATCTATTGCGTAAAAAGCAATCGGCTATGGCCGGTTATATTCCAAGTCTGTCTACGAGCGTTGCACCGTAACTTTTCTATCAACCCATTCGGCGCAGTTGCATAGGATTCAGACAGAGTGATTTCTCTACAATAATTTCCAAAGATATCGATTGGTCTTTCAGATTCGTAAGAAGCATATGATATTATATTATAAGGCATCCTCAAGAGCATGTATTGGAGGTGATTATGATACACAAACGGCAACTATGAATGTTTAGTTGTATTTGTCAAAAACTTTAATCTGTGTGCAACATGCTATGTACTTGGGCACGCTGCTTCGGATTACCACTTGGTCGATTTCTTTTGATAAGCTACCGTTTTCTTTTAGTTGCTTTTTTTAAGTATGAAGGATTTAACGAGGACGAATACTTAGTCCTCCTTCAGCATCATATTAGATTCGAACCTAACTGGTCCTTGCATACGCTCTTGGATTTTATTTAGATTCTTGTTCTTGCTTACTTTGGCTTATCCGTCTCTCAGGTGCCACTAGTCATGCAAGCTAGCAACTGCTCACTAGGCAGTAGTCGGCTTTTGAATTGAACACTACACGTATATTCTTTAATCGCAGCGTCTTCTACTACCGAAACGAATTGGAGTTTGTTTTATTAGCCGGCTCAGCTCTTGGGCTTATCCAGTGTCCTCACACAGGATCAGTGTACCATCGAATCCAGTAAAAATAACGCTTCGATTAGTTGGTAATCGTCTGCGTGAGAAAGTAGATTAGGATGCAGTTACAGCTGAGAACAAGCAATACAAAGGCGGTAAGCTATGAAAAGCTCTAACGTCTTTTGAAAACTCTCAGTATTGGAGTCGTTGAAACCTCTTGTTTGTCCTTTCGTTTTGTACCGTTTTTCCTTCCCTTTAGCAGTCTTCATACGCATCGTCGTTATTACTAGAGCAGCAAATGCTTCTACGAAGTTTGCTCCGTCGGTCTGTCCGTTGCCGGTCAACACAACGTGTCTTCGATTACAAAGGCCAATTATTGGTCCATTGTTATAACAAGGGACGAAACTATACGTCCTGCAGCCGTTAAGCTCTTCAGTCGATAATTACCTAAATTCTGAAATGTAAGATGGTTTGAGCTCTCAAAACGCCGTTCCTTGAACCTTCTTAATCATATACTCGTTGATGTTTTTTTCCTTCCCGACGGCTTGACTTCGAGTTCATCCTCATGCGTGTCATTCTACCCTAATTAACAATGCATATTTAAGAATTTCCTCAGCTTTAATGTTAAGCTTGTTGTAGCTGGCTGAACTATTAT